GCTGCCGGAGCTGCTCATGAACCACTACTATTCACTTCAACTGATTCCTTGTAAGGGCAATATAGGGACTCTTATTCCTTGTTTTTTTTTTTTTGCCGGGGGGGGGGGGGGGGGGGGTGGGGTGGGGAGCGGGGGAGTGGGGAGGGTGGGTGGGTGGGTGGGGGGCTCTTCAGCAAGTAGTAGGAACGTCGCCTGCAAACTGTGAGCACACTCTAGTCCACCATGCATACCGAACCCCACGACCCCTCGACCCAAAACCCCACATGCAGCAACTCATCCCATCTTCGGGGGTACCCTAACCCTAATCCCTAAACCCATACAGGGGCTTGGGTCTTGGGATGCGAAAGGTTTAAGTTTGTGGGTTTGTTTATCTGGCTATCAGACCTTCTTGCTTGCTTGTACGGGCAACAGCTGCTCCCTTAGCATGGGCCCCAGCAAGTGTTGAGCTTAGTGTGGTTGTTGTTGGGTTCAAGACTTCTCCTTGAGGGTTCATACTCTCAGGCCTTAGGGGGTTTAGGTCTCAAAAAGTGGTACTGCCATCTGTGAAAATCGATTTGGTTTCTTCTTGCAATCCTTCGCGTGGGTTGGGTAGTATTGAAGAAACAAGATCGTTCCGGAGAGCTGCGCAGTTTGTAGGGCATTTTAGAGGGGCACTTTAGGCTTCGAAACCTTCTGCTTCCTAGTAGGGAATGAGGGAAATGAGGGCCCAGGATATACCCTTCAAGGGATTATGTAAGGTAACTACTTCATTCCCTCGTTCCCGACTAGGAACCAGGCAGAAAGGCAATGGAGAGTTCAGGGTCTAGGGTTTACAGTTTAGGGTTTAGGGTTTAGGGTTTAGGGTTTAGGGTTTAGGGTTTAGGGTTTAGGGTTTAGGGTTGCAGCGTGAGGTTTTTTGGGCTGGAGAGATTCGGCTCCGAGGCTTGAGGCTCAGGGGTCTCGGCTTTGAGGTTCTGTAGGGTGTAGGAGTTTAGGGTTTAGGGTTTAGGGTTTAGGGTTTAGGGTTTAGGGTTTAGGGTTTAGGGTTTAGGGTTTAGGGTTTAGGGTTTAGGGTTTAGGGTTTAGGGTTTGCGGTTTAGGGTTTAGGGTTTAGGATTTAGGGTTTAGGATTTAGGGTTTAGGGTTTAGGGTTTGGAGTTCAGGTTCTCCTGTCTCCTGCAGGCACTGAGGGGCAGCTGGGCATCTCCCTGTCTGCGGAGCCCCCAGAAGGTTACCCCTAAACCCTGAACCCTAAACCCTAAACCCTAACCCTCTTAATCCTACAAGCACCATCCCCAAGAGGGTATTCCAACACCTTCTGGGGTTTGGGGTTCAGGGTTTAGGGTTGGGGTGTAGGGTTTGGGGTGTGGGGTTTGGAGTTTAGGCTTTGGGGCTTGGAGTTGAGGGTTCGGGGATTGGGAGATGAAGGTTGGGGCTGGGAGGTCTAGGTAAGAGAAGACGTAGCTGCAGAAGGGCTCGGGCCTTTTTACACCCTAGCCTCCACACAAAGTAGCACAAACAAGTGCAAAAACTGAATGTATAAAGGTATAATCTGTTAGTAAAAAACCTATCACCGTGGCCATTTTGTCTCAAGGTTTGGCCTTGAGAAAACAAAGCGACCCCAGCGACAGCGACACGTCCCGGCGAACCTCCAGTAACTCTAAAGCATCTTGTCCGGTAAGTGTGGCCGAAGGTTATCCTCCAGCTCACGTGATGCTCGATGAGAATCGGTCTAAGGGTCTAAGACCGAGGTGCTCAGTCTCTTGATCACTTGTTTCAGCGATTCTGTTGATATTGGCGTTGATGAGGCCGCGAAGGTCGTTCATGCTGAAATCATGGCAAGGGCCATCGAGACTACCCAGTCTGCCTTAACGGCTTTCAGCAAGAGGTGCAACGAGGCCTCTTCTATCTTGAGGCCAGTTTTTGATTCTCCTGTTGTCGTGGAGCCTGAATCGCAGATAGAGTACTTGTTGCGAATGTCTCGCGAAGTGGAACATTCGCAAGTTGCAAGCTCCACTGCCCCCTTTCTTTTTTGAAGATAATTAGGGCATGTTCGTCACAAGCCCCCCGCGGCCCCCGTGATGAATCCGCAACAAGGTTTACATCGCAGTCGCACTCTTGTGGTCAAACGTCTTGTGCCAATGCTTGGGAGCTTGCGCTTTGCCGCGGAGTGAAGCGCAGTCTCATCCGCTGCCAGTATGTTTGTGTCCTTTGCCCTGCGGTGGCCCAGGTGGAACGTGACGAGCTCCTTGAAGAAGTGCTAAAGCCCCATCACTTCATCCCCGGGCCCCACCAGAGCACAGGGGAAGCGCGCGCGGTGTCCGCATGAGGTCTGGCCGCTGCAGCTGTCCAAGCTGGAGCTGGCCGAGGAGTGCTCGTCGCGGGGCCTGGCTTCAGAGGGCACGAAAAAGCAGTTGCTCATCACCCTGTCATTGCCTTTTGTGCTTGCACAATGGCAAACGCATTCCGCGCCCGCGCCGATTTGACTGACATTCCGTCGCCTGTCTCTGTGACGTCAAAGGCTGACACCTTTGTTCAGGAGCAATCTGTTGCCCAGCAGCAACGTCTTGCTCGTGGCCTCAACTTGTGCGCAGAAGCATTGAAGAGTGTCTCAGGCGTCTTGACTGCCGCGCCAAAGATTGTTCATCCGTGCAAAACTCAAACCTCTATACGGTGCAGTCTTTTGCAAGGACTATGCCCAGCAGTTAGGATCTTCTGGTTCTCACTGCCACTGAGCTTCGCAGTCTTTGTTGTGAGTTGCGTTGCAGCAACTGTCGTCTGGAACAGATTCTGGTTGAGGAGCATGGCACCTTGATCAAACCACTTGGTCCACACACACGATAAGGTGCAAAGACACTTCCCACTGTCATTTTGCGACGATGAGTCACATTTCCTGATTCCTGGTCGCGAACGTCATGTTTGCGGAATGCCTTTGCAAGGCAAGAAGGACATGCCTGTCTGTTGGCGTTGCTACATTGAAATTGCAACTGCCGTTGAGTCAGGAACCTTCTGCGCGACAGCCGAGTTTACTCGGATGCTGCGTGCACACATGTCTTTCGTGACATTGACCGTGCTGATTGTGAGGTTGTTGGTGGTATTTCTGAAGCCAGAGTGGTAGGCGGCACACGTGGTGGATTGTCTGGAGCGGGAGACGCGAAGCGACTTGTGTGCACAGCCAACGGCAGGTTTTTACCCCAACAGCAGAACTTCAGGTCGTGGAGATCGCTGCAACTCAAGATCTCCGATTTTGAATTCCTTCTTCGGAGACTACACGAAGGTCGAGAAAACGGGCGGAAACAGCCGTGGTTGCGATCCTCAAGCACGGTTATGCTGAGTCTGCCTTAGATTCATGAAATCGAGGGGGGGTGGGTGGGGGAGGGGTGGCTTTGAATATTCCATACTAATCCCAGGTTTTCAACTTAACATTGAATTCGAGTTTGATTACTGGAGGATAGCTAATGGATTGCCGTAGGATAGGACAAACAATGGATTAGCGAGGGACAGATACTTTGGCAGGTAGAGCACAAGAGCCTGAGGGAGATAGAGTGGTGGAGTGGGAAATGGCGAGGGACAGAGAGTGCGCGGGAGAGAAAGAGTGCCGGCGAGAATGAACCTGTTATTCTAGAGTAATCGTAAGGTAATCCCCGCCCCGCCCACACCCTCGTGATTCTCCTGAATCCTACACTAATCCTGAGCTAATCCTAGAGTAATCCTAGAGTAATCCTACTGCAATCCTAATGTAATCCTAAGGCAATTCCCCCGCCCCGGCCACACTATTGTGATTCTACTGAATCCTATGCTAATCCTGAGCTAATCCTAGAGTAATCCTAAGGTAATCCTAAGGTATTCCCCAGCACCTCGGCCACGCCCTTGTGATTCTACACTAATCCTGAGCTGTCCTAGAGTAATCCTAGGGTAATCCTTGGGCACTCCGACGCCAGGACGCTTGCTCTTTCGAAATTTAAACGGTTTTGCAGCAAGTCCATCTTGTATGACCCCTAAGCTCGATGCTTGACCCCCTAAACCCGAAACGCGAAACAATTGCAACGAGGTCCAGGATTACCGACAAACCAAGGATAAGCAGAAAGTCCCAATCCTAGCTTAACGTGCAACTAAGCCAGCAATAACATGTTAACATTGGGTAAAAGGAGGATTGACCATGAGTAAACATTAATCCTTAGGCTGTCCTGCACTAGTCCAAGCCATCTTTATCCATGGTTAAAGGATAATCAAACCCACCCCCCACCCACCCACCCCCCCTCGACTTCATGATAGATGTGTCACAACCTTCGTTGTGAGCTCACGTGGTTCGTTCTGCTCCTCGCAGGACAAGTCACTCTATGCTTGTGACATATGTGTACAGACACTAGTTAGTCTTATTTAGAATTCCCTAAATCTATTCAAGAGTTCAGATGTCGAAGTCTTTTAACTCTATTCAAGAATTCAAAAAACAGATATAGAAATATGGAAATAGTATACGATTTTATTTGTCATTACAATTAAGCAGTCTTTTTGGCTCAAGCTTGCTTGAGCGACCGGTTCTACGCCCCCGCCCAGATCCGGGCCCTTTTGCCTTAAAATGCTGCAGCTTCTCTGGACAGGCTCCTAGTCACTTGGTTCATAAAGGAGAAGGTGGATCGGCAGGGGAATTCGCGGACTGGTGGGCTGTAGCGGCAAGCCCGACACCCAGCGTATATGCCGTTCGCGATTCGCGCCTTCACGCCGCGATCGCGCTCACCTTATTCTTGGCTTGCGTGGTCAACGCGTTGGAGAAGCCGCGCACCCTGGGCCAGCGCACCATCGGATTCGGAGGCTCCCAGTGATCAAGAGGACGAAGGTGAGATGGGGCTGCTGAACCAGTTGGACCCTTGGCGGTGAGGTGTTGAAGGTAGCTCCAAGCGAAGAGCCGCTGCGCGTCGGTGCGATGAGCTGGCGCAGCCCAGCTGTACAGACGAGTGCAACTGCTGGTGACGCAGGGCTTCCTCGAGCAGCGCCAGATAGACACTTGGGTCAAGGCTTTCATGCGTTTGGAGGAGTCCGCGCTGCAGCGCTTCCTGGAAGGATCGCTTCCTCGGGCCAGGTTTTCGACAAGTTTGTTTTGTTTTTTCGACATCTCCAGACTTTCAAGAGAAAGTCTTGGGCAAGGGACAGGGAAGAAATCCCGCAAGGGACGAAGAGTGGAGGACGCAAACCCTGAACACAAGGTCTACTTGCAGCTGGGGTCGGTGATGGTCGTGGTGCAGGCGTGCGAATCCAGCCGCCTGGCCCGCAACTGGGTGGCCGTTTCCGGGTCGGCGATGACGACAAAGCATGCCAGTCCGCAAGGAAGCTGAACGAGGCTGCCCAGTCTTATCCGAAGACCTTAACGAAGTTGATCGCAGGCGGCCCTGACCCACCAACTCGCCACGCACTCTTCCGGCGGCGTGACGTGAGCATGTACTTTCTCCGTCGCCGCTACAAAACTCTCGTTCTGCCCATTTTGGTTTAACCGGGGTGCCGTGCAAGGAGCAGGCAGCCAGGCTGTAAGGGGTTGTAAGTTTTGCAACACGTCTGCTGTGAGGCTTATGCGCGCTTGCCCTTATACACCCCTCAAAAACCATAAAACCCAACCCTTTAAGGAAGGGAAGGGGCCATATTGAGGGACCATGCAACTACCCTTAGACACCTACCAAGGACCTGTTACACTGCTGTTTGTTATCTTTGCGTGTGTGCACGCGAGAAGGTATACTTGCCCTCCACACAACACCTGCAAGTTGTAGTGACGCTGGCTGGCAGGACGGCGCATGGTGAGCTCTCTAAATTAGGATCCCTACTTGTTGGGTACACTAAATCAGAGGGGCCGCCTGGAAATAAGGGGTCACAGAAAGGGGTCCCTCTCTGGAGTCTAGGTAGGTTTTTGGGATGCTGCATATTGACCCACCAACCTATAGGTATAGCCCTTTACTACGGGCAACCCTGAATAACTACACTCAAAAGACTCAAGCCTTCAGTCCTCAGAAGCTTCGACACCCCATCATCCTCAAAAATCCGAAGCCCTACTTGGTACCCCAGCGATACATTTTTGCCTTTGTTTGCTTCAGGGTACCCTTATGTTTACATACCCTAAACCCTAAACCCTAAACTCCAAGCCCCAAACCGCGAAGCGGCCATCGGTCACGTCGCCGCTGAGGAGTTCGACCGGGCAATGAGCCCGCTTTGCACCGTGCCAGAAGGCATTGTCTGCTCAAGCCTTGCGAAGCTCTAAAGCACGCAGGGGCTGCGGATTCGGGATATGTTTCACTGGGATCTTTATTATGGGGTGTAGGGCTCAAGCCCTAAAACCAATGGCTCCAAAGCTTGAATTTAAGCTTTCTTTTGCCTTTGGGGCTTTGAAGCTCACCCCTCAAACCTATGGGGCTCGCTCAGTGTTTTGTTGTCCACTCTCGTTCGACTTGAGATTGCTCGCTCTTGCTGCTTGGGCGTCTTGTTTTTTTCTTTTCAAGGGCTTGACCTGTAGGGTAGGGGCGCTAGGGGGGCAAGGGCTCTTTCGTAATCAGATTTCGGTTTGGACACGGCGCTGTATGAGTCCACGCTTATTGTGGATGATTGGCTTTTTGTCCATCATTATTCAACTGCTTGCCAAAAGATACCCATCCTCAACCGCAGCCCATGTACAGGAACAGGGGTGTGAACGGAACCGGCGAAGGGGTCCCTTCACCCCTCAAAGCCCGAAACGGCAACTCCAAACCCCAAAACTCAACCAAACACAAGACCCCCAACACCCTGAAGATGAGAACGCCCCCTGAACTCCTAACCCGCAAAGCCTACATGGGGGCTTTACGTTTACGAAAAAGGCACCCCTTAGACCCCTAAAGAGCAGGAGACCCAACAAGGGTACCCCTAATTTCGGAAACCCCCAAAACCCCAAGCCCCTAAACCCTGAATCCCCCTTAAAAGCTTGCCTAAAAGCTCAGACCTGTCATGCTCAGCAGGCGCGCGCCACGTCGCAGCTGGCGCCGACCATTCCATCTATCTCGACTGCTACGGCGAGGGAACCCAGTTTACTCGGTAGTCCCTAAACCCTAAACCCGAAACCCTAAACCCTAAACCCGAAACCCTAAACCCTAAACCCTATACCCTATACCCTAAACCCTAAACCCTATATTTTCCCTTGCTGTGTTTTTGGTGCGAAGAGGATCATGCTCAGGAATATTTTTCAGAATGTTTTAAGGGCCATCCTGTAGTTGTGTTTGGGCCTATAGGACTGTTTAGGGTTTAGGGTTTAGGGTTTAGGGTTTAGGGTTTAGGGTTTAGGGTTTAGGGTTTAGGCTGGTAGTTTGCAGGCTTAGGAGCTGTTGGGTGTGGGGCATTTCAGGATATAGTCATGTCGCAGTCGATACTTGGCGGTCATGAGCTCGAAAGGGTTTACGGATAACCACCTAAACCCCTGAACCCTAAACCCTACTAAACCCTACTAAACCCTACTAAACCCTACTAAACCCTACTAAACCCTACTAAACCCTACAAAACCCTACCTCCCAAACGTTCCTAAACCCCAAAGCCGCCAAAACGCAGAGGCCGCGCCTTTGGCTTCGGGGAGAACTCCAAGGGCCAGCTGGGAATTGGCAGCTGCTTCGGCCTCGGTTGTTTCTCGCCAAGGCCATGAAGCCCTACCTACACCTCGGTTTAGGGTTTAGGGTTTAGGGAGTAGATTACCTTTTAGCTTTTTTTTTTGGGGGGGGGGGGTGTTGTAACAATCTCAAAGGTACGCCTCAACAACTATTTGCTTAAGACTCCCCTCCCCGAAACAAAGATCCCTACGTAGCCATTATAAGGAGGAGTAGTTGTTGAGGGGTTCTTCAGCAAATAGTAGCTTAGTAGTAGAGTAGATAACCTTTAACCTGTTCCAAAGTTTCAACCAGAAGAGACGCTCTCAAGCTCTACACCTCAAGGCTCCCATGCTTCTACCAAGGCCCTGGGACTCCCCAGCGTCTTTTCCAAGAACAGGTTGGTGTGGCAGGGTTCAACTTGGTCGAGGTACATCAACATTGGGTTTCCCTACTACCCCCCTCGAAACTAGCCTCCAGGTTCCCGCCTTAAATATCCTGAATTAGGCTTTGTTGTCCCTAAATAGCCTCAATTAGGAGGGGGGAAGGGGGGGGCAGGGGGGGTAGTATAGAGGGGGTAGTAAGGGAACCCATGAATCAACCTAGGTCCCTCTGTCCAGGCTAAGAGGTCCATTCCCCTTGAGGTTTAGGGTTCAGGGTTCAGGGTTTAGGGTTTAGGGTTTAGGGTTTAGGGTCCCGAACTAATCACTTAAGTCCGACACCTTGAGACGAGCTCCAGAAACCCTAGCCCAACAAGCTCCAGAACCTAAAGTCCTAGGCCCAGAAAACAAACCTTAAGCAAACGCCCTCTGAACGGGCCTATAAACCCTACAAACCCTGCAAACCCTACAAGCCCATCGTTTGTGCTACACACCCTTCAAGTTGCAAGCTTCAAAGCCCCCCCAAAACCTCAGGTCAGTCGGTCTCCAGCCCTTCGATGGCAGCCCTGGCTTGGATGTTACAAACCAGTGGTTGGTGTTGGTTAGGGTTCAGGGTTTAAGATTTAGGGTCAAGGGTGTAGGGTTTAGGGCTTAGGTTTAGGGTTTGAGTTCAGGGTTCTGAGTTCAGGATTTAGGGTTTGGGGTTTAGGGTTTAGGGTTTAGGCAACGGTGGTTTGTGTGCATCAGGCTTTCAGAGCTCAGATCTGCAAGGGGTTTACGGGTGTAGGGTCAAGGGTTGTAGGCGATATCGTGAGTTTTGGGGTCGAGGGTCTTGGGTGTTGAGGCTGCTGTTCCAGTGAACTTGTTGAAAGGAGTGCCCGTGGGCTATTGCTGGATAAGGCTTGTGAAGACACCATGCGCCGACATTTGTCGTGATCCCCGAAGACTTGTGCATGCAGGGCTTAGGGGTTCGAGATTTAGGAAACAGGGTTTCTGCAAGTTTCTTGTGTAGGGTGTTCTTTGGCTGTAATCGTTGCATCAGGATTCCAAGCTTGAGAGCTTAGCTGTGGGATGCGCTTGTCCTCCAATTTCGAAAAACACCTTACTCTAAACCCTAAACCCTAAGCCCTAAGCCACCCTAAACCCTAAACCCTGGCAAGTGCGTCTGAAGCAGGTTGCGCTGCCTGCCGGCACGCTAGTTGTGGACGTGGATTGCGGCGGGACTGCCTGGCGTCAAAGGTTGAAGAGTTTTTGGCTGCAGGTGCTTGCAAGGAATTGAGTTTAGGGTTTAGGGTTTAGGATTTAGGGTTTAGGGTTTAGGTAGGCCCTTGGGACATTTCATATTTTCCCGTATTGGGTTTAAGAGGATCATATTCAGGAACATTTTTCAGAGGGCTTTAAGGAGACCTCAGAGCCTGGACTCCGCTGGGAGGTTCATGGTACTTATTCACCAGTTATAACCGTACTTATAACTCACTTGTAAGCCTCCCAAGTGCCCTGATATGGTTATAAGTACAGTTCTAAGTACAGTTATAACTGGTTAATAATATAGGTGCCATGAACCTCCACGTGCAGGACACACACCGTCTTCCTGACCGACGACTTGCGCGTGCTGGGTTGCGGAGGAAATGAGAAGGCCTGGTTTCCAGCTGCTGCTCTGCGAGGCTTATAGGGTTTAGGGTTTAGGGTTTAGGGCTAAGGTTTCTAGCATGCTGCTGCACATCTTGTGCTGGTCCCGAGGGGACGTAGCAAACAGAGGGCCCAAGAACATCTTGGTGTTGGAAAGTGCATCAGCCAGCCGCAGATAGACCTCTGGAGCTGGAGTGAGGGTTCCGGTAACTGTCCGAAGCCACACCGCAGAACCCAATACCCACTACACACCATCGCAGATAGTGTGAATACGGCTTGAAGATTCACAGGGCTCAGCCTGAATCAGCCTTTGGGTCTGAGACAAGCCAGAAAGCCGCATCATCCACACAACGCTGCGTTGAACGGAGCCTGTGTCGCCTCAGGCCCTGAAAGCCTCAGAACTTCGTGCATTCAAACGCAATCCCGGCATGCCATTGCTACTTCCAATCTACAAGGGGGGAGATGACATGCTGGAGACGCAGATGCCCGTCAGCTCGCGACCTTGTGCACCATGGCAGGCGCTGGGTTCTAACACTCAGGGCATCGAGCTTCCCTGAGATATTCGAAAGAAGCCCTTCTATCACGGACATGGCGTTTGAAGGTGATCCACTCTGTCAGATCGATGCAGCGAGACGAGGGAAGGCCATTCAGAGACTGTTGAAAGAGAATTTGGCATTGTTCTTCCCATCAAGCACACTCTCTGAGCCACCGCAAGGGCTCTGCATTAATGGCCAGCGGAGATCCAAACACCAAAGCGAGTTTGACTGGATGCTTGATGGAAGACGGGTGGAGTGTAAGAGCACCCGGTTAGCATGGGATGGGTCGCGATGCGAGTGGTATGCTAGATGGTCAGCTATTAAGCTGGATACCGATCGCAGTGACAAAGCAAGTCCATTCGATGACTTGCTGCTGGTGCTGCATTCCCCATTCCGACTCGACTTTCTCATGCATGACCTGAGTTGTTATGTTGTCAACGACGGTGTACGCTCATCATTCTTAGGTCAAACTGTTCGATGCAAAGCCCGAGCAGGCGCGACTGATACCAGCCAGGCTTGGCAGCACATCATTCAGAAACTGACTCAACCACCAAACGCATGCCGTCACATTGCATCCTTGAGATCTGATGTAGACCCTATGCTAAGGGTGGTGGCAGATGAAGTCGTCAAAAAAACCTGGGAACATTCATGGGGCTGCTACAAGACAGTCCCGCTCATCGGACTCACTGCAGCTTCACGCAGTCTTCGCCTGCAAGACCTGGCTTTCAAGATTGACCAGATGCTCCATCCAAACAGTGCTTTCAGCATTGGCGTAGGAGCAGAGGCTGTTGTTGGAGAACAGCGGCTGCAGCGACGAGGAACAGCTAGGGGCAGCGCCGATTGGTGGCGAGACGGCGAACGAGTTGAGTTCAAGAGCTCGAAGATGTTCTGGCGACATGGCAGACAATGTTGGAGTGTGCACTTTGCAGGTGTAAAGGATGCCGCGCACAGACCAGACCGACATTGCCCCTTTGATGATCTCTATCTCGGCATATACAGCCCCTGCGGCTTCTACCTGTTGCGCCATGCTGGAGACTTTGCGCTGTCACATGCTGGCTTGGCAACTGAAACCCGCGGTCGTACTATTTGTGTTTCAAGTTCGAAGTGCACGGACATCTCAACAGCCTTGGAATGCTTGCTGGCAAAGTTTCAGTCCGCTGGCTGTCGAGTTCTGGCGAAGGTGGCCTGGTGATTGCGACTCTTTCCTTTAACCTCGCATGCTGACTTTAGAAGGACCTAGCTGCACGAACCTAGATGACTAAGAACAAATAAGAGCACAAGGTCTGACATCAGGCTCTAAATTAGTACGTCACCATGTTCACAGATTCGATTCCACCCCCCGCCAAATCAAACAAGGGTCCAACCTCCCCCTTCAGGGAGTCCCCACGTGCATCGTCTCCCGATTTGCCCCTAGCCCCCCCCCCCCCTCAACCACCCATCCCCAATACCCAATAACCTAGACCCGAAGAATAATTCTACGCCCCCTTCCACAACAGTCCGACATCCTCAGTTCCTAAATGCGGTTCCTTCAACACTCATGAAATAGCACTATAATCCCAAACCCCTTCACAAATCTGCTAGCCACTGTCAGGGCCAACTTGGACTCGGCTCCAAGCGGGATCGCCCCGTGCGGGGCCCTAGGGATCATGGTGTATGGGATACCTCTACAGGGTGGGGCCCCCTAGTTATAAGTAGAGTTATAAGGGCCCTAAATTGGGTTATAAGGACCCTAATTTAGGTTATAAGTCCCTTAACTACAGTTAGTATAGTAAGGGGGCCCCACCCTGTAGAGTGAGCATATCACACAAGGGTTTGTGCTGCAGATGCTCTGTTGTGCGCTGGGTGTTCTTGCCTGTGCAATAGTCAGTACTCTTTGGGGGCTGCAGAAGGCACTTCGCACGCCATCCCAAGTCACAACGCCTTCAGACTATCTATCAAGCCAGCAAGCCTGCAAGCCTGAATCCGAAAGCCTACAACCAAAAGCGGATATCTGCCATCCGGAACTTTAACCAAAGGCTGGGGTCAGGGGTTACAGAGTTTCAGGGTTAAGGGCTATAGGTTTACAGGGCTGCAAAGTTTGAGGGATTTGGGCGGGTTAGGGGTTTGGGGGATTTGGGCGGGTTAGGGGTTTGGGATTCGCACAAGGTTTAGGGTTGCAGGTTCCTGAACCTGTGGTGCTGCACCCAACTCGGCCGACGCATGCGGAGCGCCGGGAACTCTGGGGGAAGTGGTGGGCTAAAATGTGTGTCTGCCGCCCAAAGGCATGGAGCTTGGGAACCCTCAAGAAATGGTCAGGTGTTCTGGGTGTGTAGAAGAGGATAGGATTTATAGGGTTTAGGGCCATGTTCAGGAAAGCAGGGTGAAGCCGGCGAAGCGCATTTTGTTAAGGACTCAAGGGTTGGTGGGGGGGGGGGGGAGTTCTAGAGGCTCGTGACCGTCATGGTTATTGCGCCAATTCAGCAACCTTCTCTCGACCCTCAAGAGCACTAATTAAGGCTCCCACGTCTCACCCTGATCCCCAAACCCAAGCCTAAACGCTATAAGTCCCAGAATTCCTGGCTCCCTCATCTACGCAAAGCTGGTGCTCACTGCATCTGGCAGCTAGGGTTCAGGGCTCAAGCTTCATAAGTTTCAGAGTACCTAAACCCGGACAGTGCTAAATTCAAACAGATGTGCACCCTGTAGTGGGTTTGCCGAAGAAAGTCCCATCTTCAGCCGGGAGAATCCCTAAACCCTCCAGTTTTTGGCTTAGTGCAAGGGCTGTTATTTTGTAGAGAGCTTAACTGAGACCTGACATCTGGACCCACCCGCACCTGAGGCATCAGTTGTGGCTTCAGCCACTCCCTGGTACTTTGGCAGGGGAGCGTGTGGGTGCGGGCCTCGACATTCAGAACTGGGCATTAGGGGCTTGGGGCTCAGGCTTTAGGGTTTTGGGTTTGTGGTTTGGGGTTTAGGGTTTGGGGCTGATATGGGGCTGAAAAGGTTCAGGGTTTAGAAGGGTTCAGGGCGACAGGGTTTAGTTTTAGAATACGCAAAGCCGTGCGGTTAGGAAATTCGAGGGTCTTTATATGGCATAAGGGGTTTTGTGGGGTTTGTTTGAGACTTTAGGGTTTGAGGGTGTGAGGATCTTTGGGAATGATTTTGGGTTTTTCAGCTTTAGAATTTAGGTTGACTCAAGGGCGTGTGAGAAAACCTCCCTAAGGGTCCCTAGGGAGGGCTAAAGGGAGCCCTACTGTCTACTAACCCTTAAATTTCTCCAGGCTTAGGGCATGCGGGTGATCGGCCTGGTAGCGTTTTGATCCCATGAAGGAATGTGGGAGCTTCAGTAAGAAAAAAAACCTCCCGGAGTCAGACATTTCTTGCTTCGGGTATAGGGCATTCCGTTCAGAATGCTTGATTAGTACCCAAACCCTAAACCCGACTTAAGAGTCTGAAAGCATCAGCCCTTACAATCCCTAAAGCAACCCTGGGAGCTTGGGCGCTGGGAAGGCCTGGGAGGTGCCCAAGCCTGCCACAAAAATCTGAAACCTTGTTTTGAAAACCCTGAGCCCGGGGAAAACAGAATAGTTACCAATTTACGCTATCCCCTTTTTCCCTAAACCCTAAACCCTAAACCCAAAATAAGCAGAGCGGACAGTTAATGCCCTTGAGGTGCTTGGTGGCCAACCACCAAAAGACGTTGGCGAGGCGATGCTAAGGGGCTTAAGGGGTTTAGGGTTTATAGGGTTCAGGGTGTTACCGGCTTAAGGCAGGTTTAGGGTTTATAGGGTTCGGGTTTTGGGTTTCAAGGATTTCAAGGGTTTAGGGTTTATGAGGTTTAGGGGGTTTAGGTGTTTAGGGTTTATGGCCCCTTGTTTATGGGGTTTAGGGTTTAGGGTTCATAGGGTTTAGGGAGTGTGTTTGTGGTTTAGGGTGTCTAGGGGTTGGGGTTGTAATGATTCTGAAAGGGTGGCACGGTCACCTCCCCAACTACAGCAGAGATCGGCAGGGTACCATTATGACATCGCCATCCCAGAGGGCCACCGTTAAAGGCCACGGAGGGCCAGCCCTCGGCCCTTTTGGCAGCCACCGCGGCCAAACCAGCATCATGAGCATTAGCCCCCGGCAGCATCATGAGCATCAGCCCCCTGCCCTTTCAGCAGCAGCATCATGAGCATCAGCCCCCGGCCCTTTCAGCAGCCACCCCGGCCAAACCAGCATCATGAGCATCAGCCCCCGGCCCTTTCAGCAGCAGCATCATGAGCATCAGCCCCCGGCCCTTTCAGCAGCCACCGCGGCCAAACCAGCATCATGAGCATCAGTCCCCGGCCCTTTCAGCAGCCACCCCGGCCGGCATCATGAGCATCAGCCCCCGCCCCTTTCAGCAGCAGCATCATGAGCATCAGCCTCCTGCCCTTTCAGCAGCAGCATCATGAGCATCAGTCCCCGGCCCTTTCAGCAGCCAGCCCGGCCAAACCAGCATCATGTCCTGCCCTTTCAGCAGCAGCATCATGAGCATCAGTCCCCGGCCCTTTCAGCAGCCAGCCCGGCCAAACCAGCATCATGAGCATCAGCCCCCTGCCCTTTCAGCAGCAGCATCATGAGCATCAGCCCCCGGCTCTTTCAGCAGCCACCCTGGCCAAACCAGCATCATGAGCATCAGCCCCCTGCCCTTTCAGCAGCAGCATCATGAGCATCAGCCCCCGCCCCTTTCAGCAGCCACCGCGGCCAAATCAGCATCATGTCATGAGCATCAGCCCCCGGCCCTTTCAGCAGCCACCCCGGCCAAACCAGCATCATGAGCATCAGCCCCCGGCCCTTTCAGCAGCAGCATCATGAGCATCAGCCCCCTGAACTTCAGCAGCAGCATCATGAGCATCAGCCCCCGGCCCTTTCTAGCAGCCACCGCGGCCAAACCAGCATCATGAGCATCAGCCCCCTGCCCTTTCAGCAGCAGCAGCATCATGAGCATCAGCCCCGGCCCTTTCAGCAGCCACCGCGGCCAAACCAGCATCATGAGCATCAGCCCCCTGCCCTTTCTAGCAGCCACCCCGGCCAAACCAGCATCGTGAGCATCAGCCCCCGGCCCTTTCAGCAGCAGCATCATGAGCATCAGCCCCCGGCCCTTTCTAGCAGCCACCGCGGCCAAACCAGCATCATGAGCATCAGCCCCCTGCGCTTGTTTAGTATCCACCCCGGCCAAACCAGCATCATGAGCATCAGCCCCCTGCCCTTTCAGCAGCAGCATCATGAGCATCAGCCCCCGGCCCTTTCAGCAGCCACCGCGGCCAAACCAGCATCATGAGCATCAGCCCCCTGCCGTTTCTAGCAGCTACCCCGGCCAAACCAGCATCATCAGCATCAGCCCCCGGCCCTTTCAGCAGCAGCAGCATCATGAGCATCAGCCCCGGCCCTTTCAGCAGCAGCATCATGAGCATCAGCCCCCGGCCCTTTCAAGCAGCCACCGCGGCCAAACCAGCATCCCCTTTCAGCAGCCAAAAGCCAGCATCATGAGCATCAGCCCCCAGCCCTTTCAGGACAAGCCAGCATCATGAGCATCAGCCACCGCGGCCAAACCAGCATCATGAGCATCAGCTCCCGGCCCTTTCAGCAGCCAAACCAGCGTCATGAGCATCAGCCCCCGGCCCTTTTAGCGGCCAAGCCATCGTCATGAGCATCAGCCCCCTGCGCTTCCAGCAGCCACCGTGGCATCATGAGCATCAGCGGCCAATGGCCCTTTTCAGCACCACCCCGGCCAAAACCAGAAGCCCTCAACCGAAACGACGCTGCAAGCCCTCTCTGGCCCATCACCGAGCCCTAAACGACCCCGGACCATAAATCCTAAACCCTCAATGCCCAACCTCCCTAAACCCTAAACCCTGAATCCCGAACCTAAACCCTATACACCCTAGGCCTAAACCTAAACCCCACTCGGCAGGCTTTGCGGCCACGCCTTGGGATAGTGCCAAGGAGACTCCGAGGACCCCTGGACAGGCCGGAGCTGGGTTTAGGGTTTAGGGGTTTAGTTTTGGGGTTTGGTTTAGGTGTTTTGGGGTTTTGGGGTTTGGTTTAGGGGTTAGGGGTTTAGGGGTTTAGGGGTTTAGGGGTTTAGGGGTTTAGGGGTTAGGGGTTTAGGGGTTTAGGGGTTTAGGGGTTTAGGGGTTTAGGGGTTTAGGGGTTTAGGGGTTTAGGGGTTTAGGGGTTTAGGGGTTTAGGGGTTAGGGGTTTAGGGGTTTAGGGGTTTAGGGGTTAGGGTCAGGGTTTAGGGTGAGGGGCTTAGGTTTTGGGATTGAGGGTTGAGGGTTTGGGCTGGGGCAGGGCATAGAGCGGTCTTGGGAGTTGCGGTTTAGGAAGATAGGGATTCCGGGGTTAGGTTCAGGCGATGTTGGGGTTCAGAGTTCAACCGGCCTGCGAGTAGAACCACCCAACAACGAGCCGAAAATCTTCATGAACTTGTACTAGGCTCTTCGAATATTTCTGGGAGGAGATTGCGCCCCAAAGCTGAGGGTTTAGGGTTTAGGGGCGCCGTGCGGAGAGGGCTGTTTGTTCAAACTCTGGGACTGCCCCGGGCTCCCCAGCCAGAAAGACCCCCAACAACCAAAGACTTCAAGAGTTGGCCCCTATTATTATTATTATTTTTTTTTTTTCTTTTGGGGGGGGGGGGGGGGGGGTGGCAAATGCTTCATCAAGGCCTTTATGCAAGAAAGGGTTTAGGGGTTCCGGTTTCCCTTGTCAGTTCTGCACCCTCGCGCCCTCTTGCGTTGCCTCGACGCAGTGCCCGGCAGCCACTGTGTTCAAGCTTGGGGCAGTGCGCTGCAGCGGTGCCACTTGCAGCTTGCGCTGAACACGCTCAGCATAAGGGTGATACAGGGGAGTCCGATCTTAGCCCTTCTTATAAGCTTGTAAGGTTGATAAGGGTCGTAGGGTCCCTTAGGGCTTTAAGGGGTTACGTAGGGATGTCGCGTTTGCCGAGCAGAAACGGTTTTTGCAGAAGATTTAAAGCCCCAAGCCCTGAAATGTGGTTAATAACTTGGGAACCGAGAGTATGGGATACTCCCCGACGCACGAAGGCCAGGGACTCTAATGAGACGCATCGATACCAAGTTCTACAGCCCTAGTGTGCTGCATGTGGGTAGTCAAATAGGACCCCAAAAAGTATAATTATCATGATGATCATAGGCACCCCGAGAATAGGTGCCTCCATATCTTGAAAAAGGACCATCTCATGTTTCAAGCTCCCGACTCCTTTGTCTGTTCTAGGGTTTACTTAGGGATACTTGGGAACAATTTTGGGTGCTACAATTCTTTTTTGTTAGGGTTCCAAGTTCAGCATAGTTTAGGGTTTAGATGGGTTTAGGGTTTTAGGGTTTAGGGTTCTGCTTGTAGCTCAGGTGACTGGATGAAACTGACCATCCTCGGCGTGTTTGCTCTGCTGCACACCGCCACCGCCCGACTGATGGAGGTGGTGCCTCTGCTGGACTTGGGGGTTTAGGGTTTAGGGTTTAGGGTTTAGGGTTTAGGGTTTAGGGGTACCTTCTTGGGGCCCTTATTGCAAGGGAATCCTGCTATTTGGGGGGGTCTATCCAATAAGGTACCCCCTAATTTCGGAGATTCCCTGCTGGACTGGATTTTGTTGCACCTGGCATGGGTTTTATGAGTCAGAGAATAGGAGCTTGACAGAAGTCTTGTGATGTACATGTGTATGTGTATTATGTATATAGAGTGGTAGCGTACCGGCGGTGCACTTCTCAGAAGGTTTAGACCTTAAGCGGCTTTTCGGAGGGTGTGCAGTAGGCCGTGGGAAGCCCAGGGCCATAGCAGCCGAGGCGCTCTCACGCGTTCACATGACGGTCAAGATGGGGGACGACAAGGTCCTCTACAAGCCCAAGGCGCCGAAACCCTGAAGCTTTTTTTAACCTCAACCTCCAAGCCCTAACTTCCCCTAACCCCCCCTAACCCCCCTAAACCCTCTAAGCTACTCTAAGCTCTTTAAACCTTCTACGCCCTCTAGGTCCTCTAAACCGGGCATGGCTCGAGGCTTTGCGGTGTTCAGGTTCCTGCAGCACAGGGTCCAAGGCTTATAGGGCTGGGCCAAGACGAACCTAAGGGGAGTTCCATGGTCCCTTAATATGGTCCCTTACCTTCTGTCCGTAAACCCTAAACCCTAAACCCTAAACCCTAAACCCTTGATATGGTCCCTTACGTTCGTTATAGGGTCCTGAAGTAGGGGCCCTTGGGTTCTTACAGAGTATATAAGGGGTATACAAGGGTTCCCCAATGAAGGGACGATGTATCTACCTGGTTGATTGTAAACACACACACACACCGGAAGCAAAGAAGGCTTTGGGATGTTTATGGCCTTAGACTCTCTGCAAAACCCACACCAACAAATTCCGCGAGCCCCCCGTTCCCCCACCAGAACGGCAACAAACTCAACCCCGGAATTCCGTCGTCCCAAACACCCTTGCGCGTCAAGGAAGGGGTGATGTCGGCATCCTACCCAGTCTTCGAGTTCGACCGGCAAGAGTCTGGGCAGCCCAGCGGTACCCCTTTCCCTTTTTTTTCGGTTCCCTTATTATAAAGTAGCCAACCCTGAACCCGAAACCCTAAACCCTACACCCGAAACCCAAAACCCCAAAAAGGGTGCCCTTATTAAATATGGTTTCTGGGCTACCCAGGAGTGGGACAAGACGGTGGGCGACGCCACGGATGGCACGGCAAGCGCCTTACTGCTCGCAAGACCCTCTGATAATAGCCCACGTACCTGCAGAAGTGTATATACTTGGGCCTGGGTCCTATGGAGCTACGATATAGGAACGCCTTTATGCTCCTCAGATTGAATGACAAAGGGTGTTCGCAGTGCCGTTGAGGCTTTGTGCCTAGAGTTTAAACATTTCCATGGTCTGGCTGCAGTTGCTGTGCGAGAGCTTGGTTTTGGGGAGAGGGCTTCCGTGCTTTGGGTCCGGGGTCAAGGGTCTAGTGTTTCATGCTTCTCTCGCACTTTCTCGCATGTCTTGGGCTGCGAAGGTCATCGAGTATGAGGAAGTGGCCCACTCCACGTCCACATCGAAAGTTGACGACAGCATGCCGCATCCGGAGGGTGGCTTCAAGCACCCATATACCAAGCGCCGATCTCGGTTGACCAAGCATGAAAGGACTTGCCGCACTCAGAAGAATCAGGCTACATGGAATCGACCTAAATGGTTTAAAGCTCAGAAGAATCAGTCAGAGATGCTGCGAATTCACCTATAAGGTTTAAAGTTCTTGCGTGCTCGTGATCCCCAAAAAACCGCCGCCTCGAAGGTGCCGCATCACGAAGGTGACCAAGCCTGCCGTGAAGAAGAAGGGCTGATGCAGCAGCCCCGCACCGCGCGCTTGCGCGCGCGTGCGTCTCCAGAGTCTGCGTTCTCTCTGCAGTGGGCCTTCCAGGTGTGATCGACTACACTAGAAACCCCAAACCCTGAACCGAACTCACCAGCACGTCGCCGTAGTTGCCAAGGCAACCAGCTGAAGGGTTCGCAGCAGGAGCAGACGTTTCACTGCCACTCGCCCCTTTTGCTGGCATGTTTCAAGAGTTCAAAGTCATGGCTTGCATGGAGGCCGTCGTCAACCAAGACAGCGGCTGATCCACTTCGGTTTGAGGAGTCGCACAACGCTGGCAAGAAATCGCGGCAATAGGTCTCAACATTCGAGGATTCGCACATCGCTGGCAAGAGAGCATGGGGGCAATAGGTTGTCAACAACCGACCTATTGCAATGTATTATTACTAGGACCCTCAGTAGGCCCTTTTCCCTTTTTTCAGATTCCCTATAAGTGCCCCTTTAAACCAAAAAAGGGTACCCTTTTTTATTCCTAGGTAACTCCTCGGTCTAGATATCCACCAAGCAGTACAACGATCGGCTTCATAAGCGGACACACGGAGCAAGACCTCGTCGTTGCAACCGCCCTCAGCGGCGAACCCTATAATTTGTGATGTTCCCCCTTCATTGTACCGACTAGTAGTCCGTAACAGGGATTGTACCCCCCCCCTTTTATGAAAATCCCTATGAAGGACTGTTAGTATTTCGGGGGAACATCCCAACCTTGAATCCCTAAACCCGAAACCCTAAACCCCATAACCCTAAACCCTAAATAGAACCTGTAATCCCTAAGCCTGCCCACCTGGCTGCGCGGCAGGCAACACGTCGCCGACGTAGGACCCGCGCAGCTGTTCCCGTGGCAGTCTGCTCGTTGCGTTGGGGTTTGAGTTTAGGGTTTAGGGCTTACGGCTTAGGGTTCTTATGCTGTTAGGGTCCTCCCCAAAACGGACGGTTGTTTAGGGAACGGGAAATCTGCTCATCTTTGACAGGCTAGACTCTTACCGGAAAGCCCAATCCCTGTACAAGAGGCCATGCACCCATCTGGGTAACATTTGCAATGTTGTCGTTTTCTGGGGCCTTTGTGGTCAGGTCAGGATTTGTGCAGTCCTGTCATGGCCTTGTTCAAGGGCATCATTCTTGCAGGGGCGCCTAAGCGCTTTGAGGTTTGGGCTGGGATTCTTTGCGTCCCATGCATTTATTCGGTTTGAGATGTTTGAGAAGGCTTGAGCCAACCAGTCATCTGTGCACTGCAAATAGCGGCAGGCCTTCAGCCTGTCTATTTGCCACAGTGCAGCATCAGTGTAGCAACTCCAGTGCTACACAACATGTACGATGTACGGGGTGTCTACATCTGGCTGTTGTGCATTTTGCTCGTAAATCGCCTCGGCGTTGAGAACAGGGGTTTTGAGTTTAGGGTGAGGTTGAGGGTTTCTAGGGTTTAGGGTTTAGGACTCCCTAAACCTAAGCCCTAAAACCCTAAACCCGAAACCCTGAACCCTAAACCCTAATTAAACCCTGAACCCTTTACCCTTTAAACCCCAACCCTTTACCCTTAAAACCCCAAACCCTAAACCCTGATTTAGGTCCCTGTCTACAACAGATCCCGAGCCCGCCTTGCGACACCGCAGGAGCGGGCGGCGGACACGGAATCTGCATCTGTGCTGATGCTCCCCGGATGCCAACGTCGGTTAGGGCTTAGGGTTTGGGGTTTAGGGTTTAGGGTTTAGGGTCTAGGGTCTAGGGTCTAGGGTTTAGGGTTTAGGGTTTAGGGTTTAGACGGAAGCCGCTCACGACTTCATCTTGGATCAGCTGCATGCGTATAAAGGAAGCGGCCGGCGGAGGACCTGATTGACTATGCACCTCCGTCGCCTTGACGTTCCCCCGGCTCTCGAGTCTCGACGAGTTGCAGCGAGCTCAAGAGAAGTTCCCCCGGCTCTCGAGTCTCGACGAGTTGCAGCGAGCTGAAGAGAAGTTCCCCCGGCTCTCGAGTCTCGACGAGTTGCAGCGAGCTGAAGAGAATCTGCATTGAAGTCCATTTGTTGGTACTCAAGCGATTCAGACTCGTGCCCCTAAGGTTGTACCCCTAAAGGTTCCCCTGAAGATACTCCGAGTATGGCCCTTGTACAACCTTAAGGATCCTAAATAATCCTAAATAGGGGTTCCCAAAACCCAAGGGTAGAATCTTAAGGGTCCAAGGCTGAGGTACGTGGTGGAGTCCCTTTATTAAAGTACTTGACCACCCTCTGGGATGGGTTTAAGGGTTTCAGGCTTTAAGGGTTTTGGGGTTTAAGGGTATAAGGGCTTACGGGTTTAGGGGCTGAAGCGTTTAGGGACTAGGGTTTAGGTTTGAGGGTTCAAGGGGTTAGGGTTTAGGGTTTAAGGGTTACGGGTTGAAAAGTTTAAGGGTTTAGGGTGTATTGAAGTGTGGTCTACATCAAACACAGAGCCTGAACGGCTTCGACCCATGAAACAAGGACTCTGGCAAGGAGCTCCCTAAACCCCTGAAACCCCCTAAACCCCCTAAATCCCCCCAAACCCTAAACCCTTAACCCTTAAAGCCTAAAGCCTAACCCTAAACCCGAAACCCCCTAAACCCCCTACATCCCCTAACCCCTCTAGCCCCCCTGCGGAAGTCTGGTCTTACGAACTGCCCTGAACCCTAAACCCTAAACCCTAAACCCTAAACCCTAAACCCTAAACCCTAAACCCTAAACCCTAGGGTGTAGGGCCACCTTGCCTCAGCAGAGCTTAGGCTCAATGTAGGGTCCTGGGTCCTGATCATCAGCCCATGCCATGCGTTCGCATGAGCGCAAAAAGCCCTAACCCCTGAACCCTGACTCTGTCATCGAAGGAGTTGCGCAGGTTTCCAGCAAGAATTGATTCTGCCTGAACCCCTAAACCCTAAACCCTTAACCCTTAACCCTTAACCCTTAACCCTTAACCCTTAACCCTTAACCCTAAACCATAAACCTTAAACCCTAAACCCTAAACCCTAAACCAAAGCCGAAAACTGAGGGATTCGGATGGGCTTCTGGGGCCTCTTGTTTCTTCCCGCTGGCAGGACATAGCAACCCTAACCCCGCGACCCTAAACACTTTCTACATCGCCCGAAACCCTAAACCCTGCACCCTAAACCCTTCAAGAGCCCATCTTGGCCGAGGCGGTTTTTAGCTTCTCTGCCGGGGCCTCAAGATTGGAGTCTTCAGCGAGGAAGCAAGGCTCCAGTTTCAAACTCTAAACCCGAAGCCCCAAGCCCTAAACCCTAAACCGCGATTTTGGTGTTTGGGGTAAAGGGGCCTCAATGCCCTAAACCTGGACAACTTCTCCTAAAAGCTCGGGGTGTAATTGGGGTTCAAGGGCTTTGTGGGTGTCGATGTCTTTTTGTTGGCCCTCTCTCCTTTTCCTTTTGTTGTTTTTTTTTTTTCGGGGGGGGGGGGGGGGGGGGGGTGTGGTTCTATTATGATGAGGTGCATTTCTTACACTTTGGAGTACTAGTACCAACAAAAGCGCCAGAGTCGAGATCGGCTCTTGGCAAAGGTCAAAATTCCCGAAGCTCCAAAAACCCCCAACACAACCCAACAGCGTTTAGGGCTTTTAGTGTTCAGGGTGTTTAGGCTTAGGGTTTCTCTTTCTGAAGCGTATCAAGCCCCAATGTCTTTTGAAGAACTGAACCCCCCAAGCTCCGAACCCGAAGCCCCATCCCCAAAAAACCCTCCAGTTGCTAACTGCCCCCTAAACCCTGAACCCTAAAAAACCCTAAACAATCCTAAAAAAAACCCTTAAAACCCCTAGAAAACCCTAAGCCCTAAGCCCTACACCCCAACCCCTAAACCCTAAACATCCTCAAGGTGGGGTCTGACCTCGCCGACAGTTTCTCGAGTACGTCGTTTCCTTCGGCCTGGAGCCAAAGCTTGGGTCGGCCAGAGATGGACTCCATCCCTGGGGCTCCCTTGGGAAGGGTTTAGGGTTTAGGGTTTAGGGTTTAGGGTTTAGGGTTTAGGGTTTAGGGTTTAGGGTTTAGGGTTTAGGGTTTAGGGTTTAGGGTTTAGGGTTTAGGGTTTAGGGTTTAGGGTTTATGAGCTGCTGCCAGGCTTGGGTCTGAGGGTGTTTATGGAGCAAGTAGGGACTAGCAGAGGTTTATCTGGGGGAACGACGGAATGAGGGCCCTGTATACTCCCTCAAAGTTTCAAAGGGTATATGTAGGGCCCTCATTCCCTCATTCCCTACTAAGAGCCAGGGGGGGGTAGGGCCGGCAGATTTTCGAGGGTTTGGGGTTCAGAAGGCTGAGGACTTGTTGTCACAATTCGGGCTGGTCGGGTGTAGTGCGGCCTCTGCCCCCTACATCCTAAATTAGTTTTCGGACGGGGGGGGGGGGGAGGGAGGAGGAGTTTAAAGTTTTGGGCCTGTTTGTGGAACTCAGTGGATCTGAACAGTAGACGTTCAACTCTCAAACCCCAAGCCCTAAACCCTGAAGACCCTGAGCCCTATAAACCCTAAAGCCTGTAAACCCTTAACCTCTAAACCCTGTAAACCCAAAGCCTATATCCTGAGCGTGGGCTCACAGGGTGCACTGGTTCATAGTAGGGAATCACGGAATTAGGTACCTTACATCTCGCTGCAGAATTTTCCCTATACACCATTCAATCGATCGAGTATCTATTGTACCGCAGATTTCGGCTGTGCTTTTGAGGTTAGGGTTGGGGGTCTAGCATGCTTCAAGGTAAGGTTAGGGATCTAAGGGTTTTGGGTTACACCCTAAACCCTAAGCCCTAAACCCTCGGTAAGTGACTCTAAGCCTCTGGAGCCCCCAAATGAGCGAAGCCCTGAACCCTAAACCCCCAACCTTTAGGGCTTAGGGTTTAGGGTTTAGGATCTATAGGGTTTAGGGTTTAGGGTGTAGGGTTTGGGGAAGTCCTCTTTTGGGTAGCTCAGTGGGGGCGGGCACTTTTCCTTCTTTTTGTTGGTTCGAGGTTCCCTTCTAAGCAACCAACCTCGAAAAGGGTACTCTTGTTACCAGTATAATATGGTTTCTGGGGTTTCCAAGTCCCACTACCCTGCTTTACATCCCTGACCCCAAACCCCTTGAAATAGAGGTTTTTGATATCTGCCCGGAGCCAACCAACCCCAAGCCCTAAGAAACCCAACTCACTCACTCACTCACTCACTCACTCACTCACTCTTTCTCTCTTTTTTTCTCTCTCTCTCTCTCTCTCTTTCTCTCTCTCTCTCTCTCTCTCTCTCTCTCTCTATGCGGTTTCCGACATTAGGGGGTACCGCATTCTTGGAGTCCTTATTCTTGAGGGGGATCTATATCAGGGGTCCCTTATCTTCGTAACCCCCCTCCCCCCCCCCCCCCCCCCCCCCCCCTAACCCGTAACCCTTAACCCTTAACCCTGAACCCTGAACCCTGAACCCTAAACCCTTAACCCTAAACCCTAAACCCTAAGCCCTAAACCCTAAACCCTAACCCTAAACCCTAAACCGTAAACCCTAAGCCCTAAACCCGAAACCCTAAACTCTAAACCCTAAACCCTAAACCCTAAACCCTAAACCCTAAACCCTAAACCCTAAACCCTAAACCCTAAACCCTAAACCCTAAACCCTACCCCCCCTCATAAAGGCATCATGCACACATATCGTATAAAGAAAGGGTCCCTGCTACGTACAGTAGTTGGCATGATGCGCTGCAGATGGCTTAGGGTTCGAGGCTTCCCAGCGCCATGTGAGTGGTTCCGTCCCTGGTTTAGGGTTTATTTGGGTGCCTCCCTGGTTTAGGGTTTATTTGGGGTTGATGTGTAGGGTTTACGGTTTAGGGTTTAGGATTTAGGATTTAGAGTTTAAGGTTTAGGGTTTAGGGTCCGGGTTTAGGGCCTAGGGTCTAGGGTCTAGGGTTTGGGTTTAGGGTTTAGGGGGTTTAGGGGTTAGTGGTTAGGGGTTTGGGGTTGAGGGCTTCTGCTCTTTTTCATCAGTCGAGTCTGGCAAGGTGCAGCCGGTTCCCATCTGAGCCCGGCTGCAGAAACCCGCGGAAATCGACTTACTCGTAGCTTGACTGGCAGCTTCCTCACACCTGTGGGGCGTAGGGCACCAGACCGCTGACACGATCCTAGGGTTTAGGGTTTAGGGTTTAGGTTTTGAACGATCCCTGGTTTTGAACCTTCGAAATCACAGCTTCAAAGATATCAGGCTCTTCCCCCAAGCCTGACATCCTTGATTCTTAAGCCCTGAACACCGAAACCCCAAGCATTCCTTACTTGAACTTGGAAGTTACATACAGCACCCAACCTACCGCATCGTGCTGGGTCCATTTTGCCTGGCCTGCTGGTCTCGACAGTTCCGAAGGTGCATCCTGTTCTGAACTCCCCAAGAACGAATCCCTAAACCTAAGCCCTAAACCATACCCTAAGCCCTAAACCCTATACCCTATACCCTAAACCCTAGCCCTAAACCCTAAACCCCCCAAAAACCCCTTCAACCTCAGACCGCTAGGAAGAAAGGCAGGATGCGAGCCCGACGTCTCGCCAAACGGCGAGCTCAGGGGACCAACCTCCATCCCCTAGCGCCCAAGAAGGGCCCTGGCGGAGAGTCTGGAGGGCTTATCTGCAATTTTTGCCTAAGAACCCCGACAAATATAAGATATGAAATAATCCCCCCAATACTGGATGCCTAATTTCCTTGATATCTACTATTTTGCTTAAGAGCCCCGAAAAGTATTCAGATATGAAAGAATCCCTATATTGCCCTTATACGGAAGAATGTTCGTCTTTATTTTATTATTATCAGTATTAGTGTTATTATTGTTATTATTATTATTATTCTTTTATTTATTTTCGTTTTTTTTTTTTTTTTTTTGGGGGGGGGGGGGGGCAGGGGGTTCTTGCGGAACTAGTGGTTTTCATAAGGTTTGAGTATGGTTTAGACACTGGGAATTGTTTAAGTGTTCAGGGATGGGTTTTATGGGTGCATCGGGTTTCGAAGGTGTGTAATTAGTTTTTTTTCAATCAGGCTTCCATGGTTTGCAGACTGTTTCGGTGTTTTTGCGCTTAGGGCTTTAGAGTATTTAGGACTTTAGGGCTTTGTTTAGGGTGTATAATATCAGGTCTGGGTCCTTTTGAACTTTGGTTGCAGGGCTTCAGGTTAGTTCCTACACCCTGAACCCTAAACCCTAAACCCTATACCCTAAACCCGAAACCCTAAACCCTAAACCCGAAACCCTAAACCCTAAACCCTAGGGGTGTCTTGGCCTGAATGAGGGCCTCGGAGATGCGCCGTAGGCGAAAGCAGGTTTCGGAAGAAAAGCATCAAACGACACAGAGTTTGGGGTTTAGGGCCGGTAGAGGGCTTAGTTTAGGGTTTAGGGTTTAGAGTTTAGGGTTTAGGGTTTAGGGTTTGGGGTTTGGGGTTTAGGGTTTGGGGTGTTGAAGATGGAAGCCTACTAGACCCCAAAGGCTGGAACGGGCGGCTTGGCACACAAGACGCGTTCATCAGCCGAGCAACCCGCCAGCAGAGACTGAACCCAGGGCCTTGTAGGGTGTTATACTTCGTAGTTGAGTGAGTACACTTTACACGTTTGGGATACTAAAATCCCCTATGGAACTGAAAGTGTACACCTTTGGGGGCTTATGAACTCAGCAACTAAGTATACAGCGTTGTCAGACTTCTCAGTCGGCAGCCTCTCCCAAGCCGACACCAGACCTGTAGAGAGGTTTTCATGCTTCAGGCCCGATAAACTTTGGATGCCTAGGGCAGTTTAGGGTTTGAGGCATGGGGTTTGGGCTTGGGTTCGGGTCGGTCTCGCAAGTCTCGCTGGGCTCGGCACCAATTTCGCAGTAGTTGCAGCTCAAGCAAAATCTCGCCAAGCTCCGAAGTGCGCACAGCCGCCACAGCCATGCCCGCGGCCCTCGTGATGCAAAGCATGTTGAGTTTGGTGGAGAAGCAGAGGTGGTCGACGCAGCCATTCTTCAGAAGCAATGTGCGGGAAGCCCTGGCCACTGTGGGGGTCCTGCTGGCAATTGGCATGTCGTCCTTGACTGCCTGGCCCTCTTTGTCCGAAGTGATTGCTTTGGGACGTGGGGAGGAATCGCAGTGCCTGCCGTTTCGCAGCCTTGAAATGACAACGAACTGCCCCCAAGAGGATGACTGGGTGGCGCACCTTCTGGCCCATGACACCCGGCCCGTGGATCCAAACACCGTCTTTCTGGATGTGGGCTGCAACACAGGCGCGGATGCCGTCAAGTACCTGGACCTTTGGGGTCGGAGTCCCGGCATCTTTCAGGCATGGCATGAAGGTCTCAAAGGGGAGGGGGCCATCCGGGCAGGAAGCTGCCAGAACAACCAGAGCACGTGGCCTCAGCGCACTGCCAGCTCTTCCATCAATCCAACAGTCATATGCGTCGAGCCTATGTCTGCCAATGTGGAGGTCATGCGCGGCTTGCACCACAGAGTCCTGAACAGCAGCAGCGCATTCGAAATCGTCCATGCTGCTGTGTCTGACCATGTTGGTGTGGCTGCTTTCCCATCCGGTCAAGTGGGCACCGAAGACTTCGGGCTCGATGTTGCGTCCCCGGTGGATCCAGCGGGGAACGCTCGTCAAATCCAGACTGTGGAGGTCAATGTAACATCTGCAGATCGGCACGGTTTAGAATTCTTTTCATCAATTACTTGGAGGTTCATGGTTCGTATAGCCATATTAGGGCACTTAAGGGGCTTCTAAGTGCGTGTAAGTACTGTACAGGTATAATTGGTTAATAAGTACCATGAACCCCCAAGTTGGAGCATCCTGAGCACGCGTTTGTCCTGGGTTAGCCTGTGTGTTTTTGTTCCGTCTCTACTTTTGTGTGTGTGTGTGTGTGTGTGTGTTTGTTTGTCTCTGTCCCTCGGTCGGTCAAGGTATCTGCCTGTGCATGTCTATGTGCGTGTGTGCGCATGAGCTACCCTAAACCCGAAACCCGAAACCCTAAACCCTAAACCCTAAACCCTAAACCCTAAACCCTAAACCCCAATCTGGGAGGTCGACACGCTGATGACCGCTCGCGGCCTCTCGCGCGTGGACGTGCTGTCCGTGGACACGGAGGGTCACGATCCCCTGGTGCTGGTGGGGGCCTCCAGGGCCTTGAAACTAGGATGCCCAGTAGTAGCTTTGTGCCCCCTTTTTTTTTTTTTTGGGGGGGGGGGGGGGGGGGGGGGGGGGGGGGGGTTTAGGTACCCCTTTAAGCAAAAAAGGGGCGCCCTTACTAAGCCCAGGTTTTTCTGGGCAACCTAGGAAGACTGTGCGGCTGCTGTTCTTCGAGGTGCATCAGGACTTGACGGGCTCACCCTGGAGCCGAACGTCCCTCCTCTCAGTCGCTGAGAACTTGGATGACTATGACCTGGACTGCTTCTGGGCGGGGAACAACGGGAAGCTTCAGAAGATCACCGGCTGCTGGACCATGCAGGATGAGAGCACCCACAGCCCGATCCCATGGGCAAACATCCTGTGCGTCAGGAGGGGTGATGAGTGGCACGGAGCTTTGCAGAAGTACGTAGGGGCAATCGCCTAGGCCCCCGGCCACCAGGAGCCTCGCGCCGGGAAAGGCGCTGTAATTCAGGACACTTGCCCGACAGAGCCAGTGTTGCATGCCTTTTCAAGAACAAGTCGCAGGCCTCGCGGCCCGTTTTTCGGCTTATACTTCTGGGTGTTTACGATCTGGGTAGCTCTAGGGAGCCAGCCGGATCGAGTCGCTCGGAGTGCTCTCCCAATCCCCCTTGTATAGCATTGAGATTGCCGTAAGGATTGGCTTGAGTACTATCATGTTCACTGCGGTGGATTCTTCACACCGTGAAATCCGCTTTTCAGTGGCTGAAATCCTTATGATTCGAGTTTGCGGACAGACCACCCCCCAGGCAGAGCCAGAAAGATGCGGAGCTGGCAGCCCTCAGTTGCTTTTTCAGTTGATGTAGGGGTCGGAAGAATTGCTAAGAGTATTCCCTTACGGTCCCTTTAAAAAAACTGTACTACTTACTGACCGCCAAAAACCCTCTTCTAATTATGAAGTCCCGAGATTGGGTGTTTCTTGCAGTTCTTGTCACATGGCGGCCTTCATGGGTGAAATCTTCTTTGGTTTGCACTGAAGCCGCAGTCTTTTCTGTGGGTCTTGTTTCTGAGCCATGGCATGTTGAAGTTGAAACCTACCTACATAAATCACCTAAATGTGCGCACAACTTAGAATGCCCTTTCATGTCCTAGAAGCCCCTAAACGCAAGAGCCACATGAACTTGGGGCACCCTTGATGTCTGCTGCAGCACCTGGGTCCAAAGGCAAGTATCCCCAAGCTGAGCAGCCCAAGAAGACGAGGCAGACTGGACTTCGAGCTCATGTATAGGGTTTAGGGTTTAGGGTTTAGGGTTTAGGGTTTAGGGTTTAGGGTTTAGGGTAGCCTTCAGGGCATGGAACATAAAGAGGGTCCTGGCTCAAGGCTTTGGGGTGTTCTGGGGGCAGGCATCAGGCTTCATGGCGCAGGGTTTAGGGGTTTAGGGGTTCAGGGTTTAGGGTTTGGGGTTTAGGACTCATAAGCCCAAAGCCTTGTAGAGGCCCGTTGCTACCGGCAAGTAGCCGGAAATAGAGCAGCCATAGACGAGATCAGCGTGAAGCTCTTCGCCACATCGCCATGCCGAGACCCAGGCAGGAGGGTTGATGTGCAGGGAGGGTAGGGTTTAGGGTTTAGGGTTTCGGGTTTAGGGTTTAGGGCTTAAGGTTTAGGGTTTAGGTTTTAGGGTTTAGGGTTTAGGGTTTGGGGTGTAGGGCGTAGGGTGTAATATACCCATACCATAAGCCCTGCCTGCCTCTCCTAAACCCAGATCCTAAACCCGAAACCCTAAACCCTAAACCCTGAACCAGAGAAGCCTAAAATATGTGTGCAGACTACACAAGTTGGGCCCGGGGACACGAAGTCCGATGAGGTTCTGCGCAGATCTTGCATCGACTCGAAGCAGGACTCGACTACATGGGTTTCGGATCTAAGGTATAGGGTTTAGGGTTTGGCTTCAGGGTTTAGGTTTTAGGGTTTAGGGTTTAGGTTTTTTTTTTGGGGGGGAGGGGATTGCGGAGAAAGGGATTCTGTCACTCCAGAACCCCTGATTTAACCAAAAGGCTGCTTGCCCTAAACTTCCCTCACAATTAGTAGAAGATACGCCGTACGAATACCTCGTCCAAGATTTCCAGCAGGACACAGGTCAGATCACACAAGACATAGTTGTCGGCATGCGACTCCGAAGTCGGCGCAACCAGACATGTCCCCAAACCCTAAGCCCTAAACCCTAAATTTAAGAGCCTCCGGCTCAAGCCGACAAGCCGACACATGAAAGCACCTCAGCCCACCACAAAACTCTAAACCCTAAACCCTAAACCCTAAACCCTAAACCCTAAACCCTAAACCCTAAACCCTACTAGGGCTTAAGGGCCTTCAGCCCGAAAACGCCAAGCACCAAGCCCTTGGCTGCTTCGAGCTTCGAGGCGCTCCGGGAGTATCCTGCATGCCTGGGTCGCCGAGCCCTGAGGTTTAGGGTTTAGGGTTTAGGGTTTAGGGTTTAGGGTTTAGGGTTTAGGGTTTAGGGTTTAGGGTTTAGGGTTTAGGGTTTAGGGTTTAGGGTCTGGGGTTTAGGGTTTAGGGTTTAGGGTTTAGGGTTTAGGGTTTAGGGTTTAGGGTTTGGGGACCTCGAGCAGGGGTCTGCGAGGTTCGTTGAGGGCCGAGGGGCGTTCAGGGTTTGGGGGTTCAGGGGTTTCAGGTTTCTAGGGTTTAGGGTTGAGGGGTTTCAGGTTAGTAGGGTTTTTTTTCAGGTTTCTAGGGTTTAGGGGTTGAGGGGTTTCAGGTTTAAGGTTTGTACTCGTTGGGTTCGGGACATGTCTGGCTTCGGCCTGCACTTTTTTTGGGGTGTTTTTTTTGTCCTGTCGACCTTGGCCACCAAACATCCCAAAACACCTTATAATACACTTACAAAAGCATCCGCCGTCCCCCAACCCCAAAAGCATCCGCCGTCCCCCCACCCCAGAAACACCCACCCCCCAGGGGCACTAGATATCCCTTGCCCCCCAAAAGCCACGCAAGGCAGAGAGAGACTTCTGGACCATGGTCTTTGGGGCGGGCTGCTCCTGAACATCCCACTACTTAGCATGGTTTAGGGTTTAGGGTTCAGGGTTTAGGGTTCAGGGTTTAGGGTTTCGGGTTTAGGGTTTAGGGTTCAGGGTTTAGGGTTTAGGGTTTCGTAGCCCAGCGGTACCATTTTTTAACTTTTTTGGGTTCCACCAACCCCAAAATGCGCAACATGGCTCCTGCGCTACCACGGCGATGCGTTGCGTGGATAGCCAGATCTGGGGAAACAAGCATGATTGAGGCTTTAAGTTTAGGGCTGCGCGTTTAGGGCTCTATCCGTATGTTGGGGGTACTTCGAACCCTTCGTATATGCACCAGAACGCCTAGACTTCCCGGAGCCTAATCCAGAAATCCACAAACCACTACACCACGACACCCTAAGCCCCGAAACCTTAAACCCCTAAACCCCTAAGCCCTATAAGTCCTAAACCCCTAAACCCTATAAGCCCTAAACCCTAGGGTTTACCCTAACTCAAGGAGGATCATCTCCTAAGCTCCGAAACCCTAAGCCCCCAAACCCTACGATTCTGGGGCCCATGCCGAGATCGCTCTGGTGGCGTCACCTCCGGCGACGGGATCAATCAGCCCGGCCGGGAAGCTTAGATCGGCCTTGAAGCGTCATAAACGCCTGCCATGGCACCCCACGCCCTCGACCCGAAGCCCCAAAACACCTAAAGACCCCTAAACCCTAAACCGTATACTGAACCCTAAACGGCCCTGCACCCTAAATCCTACACCCCAAGTCCTAAACCCTAGAAGCCTCAAGCACATCCCCTAAAAGCAAGCCAGGTAGTCGCTAACATGTCTCTGAGCAAGCAAAGGGTCTCAAGGCCCAAAACCCTGGCTGGGTTTAGGGTTTGGGGTTTAAGGTTTAGGGTTTAGGGTTTAGGGTTCAGGGTGTAAAGTTTTAGGGCTCAGACACCGGGCCTAGGCCGATGAAGCTTCCTGATGCTAGGGTTCAGGGTTCAGGTTTCAGGTTTAGTGCATAGGGTTTAGGGTTAGGGTTTAGGGTTTAGGGTTTAGGGTTTAGGGTTTAGGGTTTAGGGTTTAGGGTTTAGGGTTTAGGGTTTAGATGGCCCTCCACTATCGGGCCATGGCTGCTCGTCGCATTTCACGCAGCTTTCGAAGCGAGTCTGCATCCCAATCTTCACAGCTTCTGCGCCCTGTCACAGCAAACCCAAACCCCTAAACCCTAAACCCTGAACCCTAAACCCGAAACCGTAAACCCTGAAACAGGAAGCGCGAAAACCCCAAACCCTAAAACCCTAAAACCCCAACCCTGAACCCCTAAAACCCAAACTCCCTAAGCCCCTGGAATCCGAAACCCCAAACTCCCTGAAACCCCCAAACTTTAGAAGACTAAAATCCCTAAGCCCCTAAAGCCTGCCCTAAAACCCCAAGCTCCCCCAAACTAAACCCAAAACCCTAAACCCTAAACCCTGAGGCTTCCAGCGACGCTTTGGTCAGGCCGCAGCAAAGTGATTTGGGGGTCCTTACGGGAGGGAGGTTCTGCCCCCAGCAGGTCCAGAACCCTGAAATTTAAACCAGGGTTTAAGGTTTAGGGTTTAGGGCTTAGGGTTTAGGCAAACCCTGTATATCCTAACCCCAAAGCATAAAAACTCCGAACCCCCAGACCCCAAAGCCTGCAATGCCCTGTAGAGCCAAAGCCCTGTGAACCCTAAATCCTATCAACCCCAAACCCTAAAACCCTGAGACTCCAAAAGTTCCCTAAAGCACCCGAAGCCCTAAACCCTACACCCTATACTAAACCCCAAACCCCAAACCCCAAACCCCAAACCCCAAACCCCAAACCCCAAACCCCAAACCCCAAACCCTAAACCCTAAACCCTAAACCCTAAACCCTAAACCCTAAACCCTAAACCCTAAACCCTAAACCCTAAACCCTAAACCCTAAACCCTAAACCCGAACTCGCCCTCCCAAATGCCAGTCTCGGAGGCTCCCAAATGGACAGGACCTTGAGGTGTCGATGCAAGACGGGCCTGGGTCTCTGAAGGTCTTGGAGGGTTTAGGGTTTAGGGTTTTGGGTTTTGGGTTTTGGGTTTTAGGGTTTAGGGTTTAGGGTTTAGACGGTTTAACGGCTTTAGAGGCTGTAGAGGGTTGCTTTTCATATAGGTTCTGGGGTTACGGGTTTTTTGGGGTGCAGTGCAGCGCGCAAAGGGCTACAGCCCTGAACCCGGCACTCCTCCATCAAAGGGAGGCCATAAGGCTCCTTTTGCCTTCCTGAGAAATGGGATCATGTACCTAGTTTAGGGTTTAGGGTTTGAAGGCTTTCAGGGGTTTAGGGATTATCAGGGTTTTTTAGGGCTTTCGGGCTTACAGGGTTTAGGGTTGCATGGATTTAGGGCTTACAGGGTCTAGAGCTTTGGGGCTTACAGGGCTTCCAGATAGA